CATGTATGTCAGTGTTAGATATACAAAACATAGATGCGAAATTTATACATCATTTATTACATATTAAAGCATACACAGACACGCACACACACACACACACTCACACAGACACGCACACACACACACACACTCACACAGACACGCACACACACACACACTCACACACACTCACACACATACAAACACAATATAATTATAAATACAGATATCTGTGTAAATATAACACAGATATAATTATAAATACACACACAGATGTACGGACACAGACAAACAAACTTACAGCAACAAAACATAAAAATAGAAAAAACGAACAAAGAAAATGTCTTGAATAAAAGCAAAACAAAGACATGCAGTAGTGTCAACACACAAAGACGAAATTTAAAAAATCAACACACATGCTCACTTGTATAAAACAAATATACAAGAGTATTTACAAACAGACAACACATACAAACAAACTAAAAATACAAACGCAAACATACAAACACTTGTATACGCAAACAGAAGACTACAAATTCGATCGCATTTGCTGTATCAGTTTGATATCTTGTTTTTTGTTTTTTTTTAATTTTTTTTAACTTCCTCACTCATTATCATCTTCTTCATCACTTTAACATTCTAACAATCTTCATTATCATTATCCTCATCGTTATCATCGTCTTAATGATTCACAAACCAGTGTACAAGCAAACATTTGTACAACTACAACAACAACGACAACAACAGCAGCATGTGGATGTTTTATTTATTGTCTCGCTTTGTTTTGTATTTTGTGGTATTGTATTTTACTGTACTGTACAATATCGTATCGTACTCTGTTGTACTGCCTGGACTAAAAAGCCTTACATCAATTTTACTATCAAATATCGACATGTCATGTCTAAGATAAAGACATTGGATGTTTTAAAGTGTTGGTACGTGTGTATTTTTTGTATGTTTGTGTCTGTCTGTCTGTCTGTATGTATGTATGTATGTATGTATGTATGTATGTATGTATGTATGTATGTATGTATGTATGTATGTATGTATGTATGTATGTATGTATGTATGTATGTATGTAGGTAGGTAGGTATGTATTTCTTCTTTGCGTCATTGTGTTTTTGCGTGCACTATGATTGCATGTAGTAATGTGTATGTGTGGGTGTTTGTATGCATGTGCGCGTGTATGTATTTTTGTATTTATGTGTATGTGTGTTTGTATGGACGAGTGTGTATCTGTGTGTGTATATGTGTGTGTTTGTATGGACGTGAGTGTATGTTTGCGTTTGTATATGTATGTGTGTTTATATGGACGTGTTTGTATGGACGTGTGTGTATGTGTGTGTGTGTGTTTAAGTTTGTGTGTGTTTGTATGATTGTGTGTAATTGTCTTTCCGCGCGTTAGCTGTGCATCCCTGGCTGTTTTTCTCAAAAGATTTGGCAGGTTCATAATGGGTTTGTGTTAATAAATTGGCCACACATACTTTAATCTGTTGTTGTTGATGCTGCTGTTGATGCTATTGATGTTGTTGTTAATGTTGTTGTTGTTGTTGATATTGTTAATGTTGTTGTTGACGTTGTTGTTGTTGCTGCTGCTGTTTTAGTTGATGTTTTTAATGTTGATGTAACAAAATGCAAGGGAATTCAGTTAATGTGGATGTTTCTAAAGATGTTGTCGTTGTTGTTTCTGTTGTTGTTGTTGCCGTTGTTGTTATTGGTGATGACGATGACGATGAAGAAAACATTGATGTTTTTGTTGATGGTAATTACCATTATTATTCCTATTATTATTTTTATTTCTATTATTAATAATTTTAATATTATTATTATTATTATTATTGTTGTTGTTGTTATTATTATTGTTATTATTTTCCCGCCAAATTAGGCCCGGCCAACGATTTTATTTGTTGCTCTTGTTGGAATTGGATAATTATTCTTTCGGATACAATTTCACGTGGCTGCCATGTTGTTGATGTCGAGACAGCGGTTAGAGAGAATGAAAAACAGGGCAGGAAAAAGAAATAAAGGAAGAAAAATTTAGAGAGGAGTGAGAGTGGGTGAGATTTGGGAAAATGCGAAAGGACGAGGGATAGATAGGTGAAAATGACGTAAACATTGAGAGAAAAAAAGATACATGGACAGAGTTGAATAGAGAGATGAAGAGAATGATAAAAACAAAGAAAGAGTGAAAGCACAAAACAGAGTGAGAATGAAAAAGCGAGAGAGTGAAAGATAGAATGGAAAGATAAGATGAAGAAAAAATACATCTAGATCATTTATAGAATGATGACGAGTAGAGATAAATACCTCTAACACTCGCTAGTGAGTTATAAATTAACCCATAACTCGAAACTATCAGAATTGTAATAACAAACATCCATTTAACTTTATGGCCTCATGCACACGCACACATGTGTGGAAATGTGTGTGTGTGTGTGTGTGTGTGTGAATATGAGAATGTGTGTGTGTGTCTGTGTAAATCTGTGTGTGTGTATGTGAGTGTGTGTGTTTACTTGAAAGATTTTTTTTTGACTGATATATTCAGAGACTAAATAGCTCTATATAGCTCTCTTAGAAATGTTTTGCTCAATGCCTTGTCTTAATTTATATCCCAATAACGTCTCTAAATACACATCGGCTGAAAAATGAACACAATCTTCATTTCTTTCTTTCTTTCTTTCCTTTTTTCTTTCCTTTATGTCTTTTATTTTCCTTTCATTCACTTTTTCCATTTCCACTCAGTTTTATTTTTCCTACAAATGTATCTGTCTGTATCTTTCTTTCAATATATATTTCTTTTTTAATTTTCATTCGTTTTCTACGCTCCGTTAATATCTCTCTCTCTCTCTCTCTCTCTCTTTCTCTATTCTATCTCATCTAGACGAATCTTCGTACAGTTTTTGTGTTACAATCCCAAAAATGCAATACAAACAAAACTTAACATTGCGTCAGCTGATGCGTGTCACGTGTGCACGCAATCACGTTTGTATGTTTGCTTGTATGTTTGTGTGTTTTTGTATGTATATACATGCACGTATGCGCGCGCGCGCGTGTGTATGTATGTATTTATATATTTATGTTTGTATGTTTGTATGTA